ATCCAGACAAATAATATTAGAGATACCACGTATAATTTGAAGTACAATTTGTCCTGAAGATTAAAATGACTGGCAACAACTACCAACAACAACCCTATTTTTTTTAAAAAGTTTCAGAAATCAAAACTAAACACTGTTTTGCAGAATCATTAATCCTCACAGGCTCAGTAGAAACTGGGCTATAATGAAGAAAACCATACTAGAATATAAACATACTGGAATAAATATTTCTTAAACCTGAATTAACATTTAAAAACTACTCTCAATTACTCAGTTTATTCTTAAAAAGATAAACTAAGTATTAATTACTACAAATATCTAGATCCTGTGCTGTTGATAAGGTGTAAATCATTCCTGTTCTGTTTCTTCATTCATAAAAAGCAGGTGAATAGCTGATCTAAAAGTTCCTTTCCAACCCTTCTAAAAGTTGAGAGTTACCCGAAGAAACCTAACACAGCAACACCACGGTTAATCTGAAAGTCTGCTTCAGAGTCTCTTTTAACTATTCAAAATACAAAAGATTAAGTCTTAAAAAAAAAATCAAAACCCCTCTGAATAGCAAGATTTGTTTTTATTATTACCCAACAAGTTACATGCATTTAAGGCAGGCCTTTAAACTTCACAACACCTTGATTTTCATTTTGATCATTGTTGCAATATGCTTCATTATCTAACAGCAAATCATGTAACAATGTTACTAATAGACTTGAGAAGAGTCAGAAAGGGAATGAGATAAGAAAAATGGTACAGAAAAAAATATTAAAGCACAGATTATTCTCTAAAGATCAGCAATGTACATACATACAGTGCTTTTAGTGAAGCAAAGAGCGGAATACACCTTCATTAACTTATAGAATGGTCATTTCAAATATTTCAAATCCTAAAAGCTGATGCTGTGAAAGTGCTGCATTCATTATGCCAGCAAATCTGGAAAACTCAGCAGTGGCCACAGGACTGGAAAAGGTCAGTTTTCATTCCAGTCCCAAAGAAAAGCAATGCCAAAGAATGCTCAAACTTCCACACATTTGCACTCATCTCACACACTAGCAAATTAATTAAAGCTCAAGATTCTCCAAGCCAGGCTTCAACAGTACATGAACCATGAACTTCCAGATGTTCAAGTTGGATTTAGGAAAGGCAGAGGAACGAGATATCAAATTGCCAACATCCACTGGATCATCAAAAAAGCAAGACAGTTCCCGAAAAACAACTACTTCTGCTTTATTTACTACACCAAAGCTTTTGATTGTGTGGATCACAACAAACTGTGGAAAATTCTTCAAGAAATGGGAATACCAGACCATCTGACCTGCCTTCTGAGAAATCTGTATGCAGGTCAAGAAGCCACAGTTAGAACTGGACATGGAACAACAGGCTGGTTCCAAATAGGAAAAGGAGTACGTCAAGGCTGTATATTGTCACCCTGCTTATTTAACTTATATGCAGAGTACATCATGAAAAATGCTGAGCTGAATGAAGCACAAGCTGGAATCAAGACTGCCGGGAGAAATATTGATAACCTCAGATATACAGATGACACTACCCTTATGGCAGAAAGTGAAGAACTAAAGAGCCTCTTGATGAAAGTGAAAGAGGAGAGTGAAGAAGTTGGCTTAAGGCTCAACATTCAGAAACTAAGATCACGGCATCCCATCCCATCACTTTGTCCCATCACTTCATGGCAAATAGATAGGGAAACAATGGAAACAGTGAGAGACTTTATTTTGGGGGGCTCCAAAATCACTGTATATGGTACTGCAGCCATGAAATTAAAAGACACTTGTTCCTTGGAAGAAAAGTTATGACCAACCTAGACAGCATATTAAAGAGCAGAGACACTACTTTGTCAACAAAGGTCCGTCTAGTCAAAGCTATGGTTTTTCCGGTAGTCATGTATGGATGTGAGAGTTGGACCATGAAGCAAGCCGAGTGCCGAAGAACTGATGTTTTTGAACCCTGGTGTTAGAGAAGACTCTTGAGAGTCAGGTGGACTGCAAGGAGATCTAACCAGTTCATCCTAAAGGAAATCAGTCCTGAATATTCATTGGAAGGACTGATGCTGAAGCTGAAACTTCAATACTTTGGTCACCTGATGTGAAGAACTGACTCACTGGAAAAGACCCTGATGCTAGAAATGATTGAAGGCAGGAGGAGAAGGGGATGACAGAGGATGAGATGGTTGGATGGCATCACTGACTCGATGGACATGAGTTTGAGTAAGCTTCGGGAGTTGGTAATGGATATGGAAGCCTGGCGTGCTGAAGTCCATGAGGTCACAAAAAAGTCAGAAACGACTGAGCAACTGAACTGAACTGACAGAATGCTCATATATATGCATATCTTATACTAAAATGATTATAAAATAAATGTTTTATAAATGTGACTATACATGTGGTAACACTGTATACAAATTAAAAGAAAGTAAATTCTGTTTAAAATTATTTTAATGACAGTAATGATAATTATAAACTATCATTCTTTTCTAAAAATATCAGACTACTGGTTAAGAGGGCATAGTACAGGAATCGTTATCGTCTGAGGCATCAGGGAAGCCCCAATTGAGAACTAGAATTCATAAATTCTGTAACTTCAGCTCTGTGGCTGACCCATTGTGTTCTTTATGTAAAATTCAAATTCAAGTTTTCTTATCTTAAATCCCTGTTTGCAAAGTAACAGAAACAGCCAAATCAAGGATATTAATTACCAAGGAAGCATGCAATGTATAAAAACTAAACATCAGCCCATGACCACAGCAGAGAAGACTAATCCGCAAACCACTAATTATAATTTGGCCTATGATTTCATCCTCAACTCTACTTTTTAAAAATCTCTGCTTAATTCCACAATTATTACCTGTCTAGTATGTACAAAGAACTATTAGGCCATACAAGACAGAAGAATGAAAAAAATATGGTCCCTTTACACTTGGTAGGAGCAGGACACAAATACAGGATCACAGAAGGGGAATTCCCAAATTTAGGTATCCGGAGACTGGCCTATACCCTCAAAAAAGATTCAGCATAAATGGTGAAACAACTATTCCTTTCCAAAATGTGGGTGAAAGGTCTAAGTTTCTCTTTTATCCATCCAACACTTCAGAACATAGTGTGATCACTCTCTAAATGTTCAATAAGTGAAAATATGATTAAAGGTATTTTAAGGCAAAACTAGCAGCTTCTATAAAAAATTAGCTTCGTTTAAATTTGCTCCTTGTTAAATATAGATTGTTCTTTAAGCAAAACTCATTCAAGAATTCACTTATGAATAACAATTTAAAAGGTTAGGAAGAGAGGAGGTATCAGGTAGATTTGAGGTCTTCCATATTCAAACATTTATTTGCATAATTATAGAAGACTAAAATCATGAAATTTAGCATCTCTTATTAAAAATACTGTTTAGTATTTTGTTGTTGTTGTTGTTGTTTAGTTACTAAGTCCAGTTCGAGCCTTTTTCGACCCCATGGCTGTAGCCAGCCAAAGCCCTCTGTCCATGCCAGGCAAGAATACTGGAATGGGTTGCCATTTCTTTCTCCATTTTAATATTTTGAGACCATAGAATTTTTTTTTCCTGATAGCATATCTATATATCAGTCACATTCTTGGTAAATGCTTAACTATTCAATTAACGTTTAGAGAGACTGATGTCAAAAGATAATGTTCCTTTTATTAATTGAATCCCACATGGAAATCTTACTTTTGACTCCAGTAAAATAAAGGAGATTGTTGATACACATTACCCTATGAACATGATGATATAAGATAACAATACTGAACATTCAAAAAAATAGCAAGGATGACAATGTTGGAGGAAATAGTCAGAATAATAAAGAAAAAATTAACTTGGATTTAAGACTTATCTTCCGTCTAAAATGCTAGCACAACAGAAGCTATGTCTTTAAAAATCAGATAAACAGCTAACATAAATGCCTGGTAAGCCAAACTATCTTTTCATTTTTAAAAAAGTATGATGGGTATAGCGTCTATTTTTATTACATTAATCTTTCATAATTTCCTCTATCTGAAATTAAACTCTTTAATATCAAGTGATTAAAATGAAGTAGACCTAATTAAATACCTATATAATGCCATAAGTAACTCAAACTTTACATAAAAGATTATTGGCTTTTTATAATCTCCAGCATTGATTTACAATGAGCTTCTTCCATACAATCCAAAGTTACTTGGGGTTAAGAAAAATCCACTGTTATAAATATATATTACATAATTAACAAAAATACTCCCCGAACATGCCAAATCATATTCTCAAAACGAGACTTTAAAAAAAAATTCTGTAGAAAATGATAGTAAAACGATCATTTACTATAAGCCCTTTCTGAAAGTCCCCACAGGATACTGAGGACAGAAAAGAGGGATACAGCTTGACTTCCGACTAAAAGCCGCTGCGCAAGCCGGGCAGGAACAAACTATAGACCATGAGGACTAAACGCCTTTAATTTCTTCTCTCTGGTCATAAAAGAGGCACCCTCAACATAGGTTAAGTGTCTTTGTAAAAAGAAGCGTAAAGAAATCTGTTGGGGTGGGAGGGGCTGCAAGGCATCCATCAGCATTTGTTTGAAAAGACCTGCCAGGCTCTCAGGAGTTACACTTAAATAATGTGACCCTTCTAGACAGGACAATGAGGAGACAGATTAGCCCCTTCAAGGGGTGACTCACCCCCGACGCACGGTGAGAGGGGAGCCAACATAAAGCCTGGACCCTGCACGTCTGGTTAAGCATCTGGGCAGCTCTGTCTGCGGCCCGAAACTAGACTGGGGTAGCAAGGCAGCACAGTCCCCGGAGGTTCCCGGGGAGACTCCGGACTGGACTGAGGGGTAAGATGGAGGGCTCTTCCAGGCCGGCCCTCGACCAACCGCACCTCCTCTCTTCCTCTCGCCGGAGCGGAGGGCAGGTGCCAGCGCAAGATCTGCAGGGTGCTTGCCCCCTTCACCACACCTATCGTCTGCCTGAGAGTTCTGGATGTAACTCTTAAACATTAAGTAGTCTCATGAAACAACGAAGAGCAGATTCTAAAAGGAAAGTGGCCCGCCTCAGAGCTCTAGAGGGAACCCGATGGGAAAGTGAGAAGAGAATGCATTCTGCACAGGCAACTCTCCGCGCGTGTAACCCCCCGCCCCGGCTTTCTCACGGGTCCCCGCACCGACAGACTCTGGAAGGAGGTCCTTCAAGGCCCAGAGAGTCACCGCACCGGACAGGAGAGCTCTGCGGTGGGGGGCAGTACTTAAACCCCCTCGTTTCAGTATCTCAGAAGCCTAGAGATAACCCACCCCATCAGGTGGCCTCCTCCTGCAGGCGCGTCTTCCACTCTCGCAGAGCCACTCCCCTCTCCTGCGGCGCGGGGCCGGGACGACGCCGGGAGCCGCGGGCGGCCCGCACGCCCCGAGGCCCGAGGCCCGAGGCGCAGGAGGGGCTCCTGCCCTCTGCTCCGGAGGAGCCCCGGGCCGGCTTCCCCCGCGGAGGAAGCACCTCCCCGCGGGCGAGGCAGCTGTGCTTCTGCCTCCTTCCTGCAGATGGAGGCCGGCGGGGAAGGCGCGGCTCTGAGGCCGAGAGCCTCTCTGCTCTCAGCAGCCCACGGACGGGGCGACGAAGCCGCCGAACGCCCCTGGGCTGCGGGCGGAGGAGGAAGGCGGCGGACGCGCAGGGGCCGGCCACTGCTTTCTCGACACACTCTCAGATCCTAGCCTCTACGTGATATTCTGGGTACACACAGAACCTGACGAGAAATCGGTTTCCAGTAAGTTTACCCGTGGACAAATGAAGTTTAAACCCCACCCTCTCGTCCAGAATCAAGTCTGCGTCCCCACCAGCTAGAAGGCAGGCTGGTAAAATGTCCTCTCCCGAATGCATTTATATTCAAGTTGCTTTCCCTCTGGAGCGCCTCGCTGTTGCCTGGAAACAGGAAACCTTCCCACCTACATGCTTCCTGATTCCTCTCCCCCTTCTCCCCCAGTGAATGTACCTGGCCATGCTTCTAGATACTGTTTATCTTAAAGAAGAGCCGAGTCTTTCAAATAGAGGCAGTGACAGAAATTTTGCCATTCACTAGCCAAACAAATAAGTACTGAACGCTTGAATTACTCAGACAGGAAAAGAACAAAAGGCACTTCATTTAGTAGCATTTAAAAATGGTGAATGTTAAATACAGATTTATTTAAAAGTCTTGTCCAATAAAACCAAAAGTTACCCTAAGCTTTTTTTTTTTTTACCTACCACTTTGTCCTAATGATGTTTCTTTGAAATCCTATGTTCCTGGGGGTAAGGGGCAACCATCTCTTTTAACAGCCGCTATGCTTGACCGATCAGTCACCCTGGCACCCCCTAAACTTCAACACCCACATCATACCAGCGGCTAAGCCCTCAGGGAGTTTCCTTATCTATTCTTCATTCATTTGATCTTTCCACTCCTTTTGCTACCACTGAACTTTCACCATGAATTGATTTTCACTGAAGATTATTATTGCAGCAATAAGTGCTACTGCTATTATTATCAATTACTTAGAGAATACCACATGCCAAGAAAGCATTTATGTTTTACCTCACTATTTCTCTCAAAAGTCAGTGAAACATGTACTATTATTATCCCACTTTAAAGATGAGGAAACTGAGATTTACAGAGTTTAAGTAACTTGTCTAGAGTCACACACCCTTAAAGTAAGCCTCAAATTCCTCTCCTAGGAAGACAGAAGTAGGACGTCTTTATCTACCAATCCTTCCTCTGTTCCTACTAGTTTTTGTTGGAAAATATCATTTTGATAAATTGTAAAAAACTTAAAATGTTCATTTACTTTTTTGCTAGGTGAAATCACGTTGTGCTTCACACACACCAACAGTACCACACAATGCTTTACTTCCTCCCTACAGGTGTGAGAGAGATCCTTTTTAGTATTTTAATTAATGGGATTTATGTCAACAAATTTTACATGCCTTTCAGAGCTGAAGTAAAATAATCAGTATCTTATGATTTAGTGTTCATAATGAGCTTTGAAAAGTGAAAGTGAAAGTCCCTCAGTCATGTCCAACTCTTTGCGATCCCATGGAATATACAGTCCATGGAATTCTCCAGGCCAGAATACTGGAGTGGGTAGCCTTTCCCTTCTCCAGGGGATCTTCCCAACCCAAGGATCTAAGCCAGATCTCCCACATTGTGGGCAAATTCTTTACCAGCTGAGCCACAAGGGAAGCCCATAAAGAGCTTTAAGAGAATAAACAAGTCATAAGATAAGTTTTGGTTGGTCCCTTGAAACAAACACACAAGACCCTAATAATAAAACAAAATTCAGAGGGTAAAAAGAACTAGATGCATAGATAGGTAAGTAGGTACATCAAACCTCAGAATGTTGACCTGTAACTAAAGCAAAACCAAAAACTAGAAACTGCCTCTTAAGTTAGTGAATTAATGAGGCCAATAAAGTTGAAATTATAAACTGCTTTGAGAATTTCCAGATAACACACCCTTAGGTTTTATTTAAAAAGTCAGTTGTTCATTCAACAAAATATAGGTAGTGTTTGATTCATAATTTTGGGGCTTCCCTGAAACTCAGATGGTAAAGAATCTGCCTGTAATGCAGGAGACCTGGGTTCGATCCCTGGGTCAGGAAGATCCCCTGGAGGAGGAAATGGCACCCCACTCCAGTATTCTTACCTGGAGAATCCCATGGACAGAGGAGCCTGGCAGGCTCCAGTTCATGGGGTCACAAAGAGTCGGACACGGCTGGGTGACTACGAGATTAACACTACTACTTGATTCTTAAATGTATGGAAGAAATCACTTAAGTATAAGCGAACAAAACCATAAAAGAGCCGTTTAATTCTAAGCCAACACCGTAGGCAGGACTGAATTCCAGCTGAAGCATTATGACTTGCCAGCTACCTCAACTTCAGCACACCCCTCAAATTGCCTGAGCCTCAGTTTCCCCACATCTACAAAGATAACAATGGCAACCCTGAGTCTACTATAGGCTGTTCTGAAAATCAAATGAAAATATGGATGAGATCTAAAAATACAGTTAGTTTTTCTGAACTACACATCTATTAGCTTTCATCACATTTTAAATGCTCAAACATTCAATAGAAAGATTTGAAGTCAGCACTTCTCTAATTTCTGGCATACAAGCTTCATTATTCTACATTTAGAAAACTTGCTTCTTCATTTATATCAACTTTGGAGATACTATGTTACTCAAGGACTGCATGCCTATTAAAATTATTTAAATTAGACAGAATTACCCGGTGAGATCAGTACCATGACCAAGTTCTGTGTCCACAGTATTAAAGATATGATAGTTACTTATGAAATTTTCAGCCATGGAAATTGTATTTACCTAAAGACAAAACCAGAAAGTTAAGAGAAATGGGCAAATGATAGAGTATTTCTATAAAAATGAGCATTATAACTAACATAAACCAGCATGGTGCTTGTTCAGAATACAGATTATCTACATCCATCAGATGGTCAGTGTAGGCAACACTGGCGGCAAATTTGCCAAAAACTGAAATATTTGTGAGTCAACAGGTTTGGGGTGTTTCTTTTCCTAAATAAAACCCTATGTCACTCCTTGCAAAATGTAATCCCAAACATCTTATTCACCAGGAGAGTGATAAAATCAAGGAAACCTTGGAAAACCAAACTGTTCAGGAATACTGGCAACAGAATGAGAGAACAGGATGCCAAATAAATCCGAATTGGTATTAACTATTTTTAAAATTTAGTATAGTGGATAATTTGGTACCCAACTAAACAGTCTGTGCCTTTATAAAGCGGTGGGGGGAGGAAGAGGGAGGCCAACTGAGGGTGTTACTATTTTTTATTCAAGTTGTTTATTTAGACAACTAAAGAGGGGAGAAAATTCTTTACAAGAAACTTTATCAAGCTCACTGAGACAAAAATGTTTTTAGGCCTAGATTATACAGCTAACGGTCCTGGTTTTTCCACTAGAGTTCACAAGGATAGAAACTGTATGTCTAACCGCCAGCATCTCTGCGCATTTATGCAGTTCTCTGGTTGTAATACACTTTTCATTTACCCTTCTCTACTTTTAAGGCCGAGCCAGCTCTAACCGCGGTCAGTGCCTGGGATGGTAAGGCCCGTTTGGATACAGGGACCACAGCAACTACTGCAGGACCTCTCTAGCCAGAGGTCCACGTGAGGTGGCTGACGCTGCCTTCTACAGCCTGACTCATTCCTTCTGAAAAATAAATCTGTATTTTTGAGAGACGGAAGGACAACAGGCCAAGGGGCCGAGAGATATTCTTTTTAATTAATTTTTTATTAGGGTATAGTTGCTTTACGATGCTGTGAAGAGATATTCTTAAGCACTCAGTTTTCATCTCTGAATCACACTAATAATGCTGACTTGAGAACTGAATTTTTTAATACTGTCACACATCTTTTTACCCTTTTTTATTCATTAAGCTCCCAATGAGGAATTTTCTTTATTTCAACAAATAATTTCTGTGGGCTTATTATTATGTATGATATTGTGCTGAGTGTTAGACCAAAATATATATGGTCCCATCCTTTATTCTTCATAGTTTCCAAAGAGCAGCCTAAGTTTTAACAGATGATTATTAAAGATACATATGTATTTGAAATGACATTTCTTGAAAGATCAATCTTAAGATGCTGTATTACAAAGAAGAGTGAAATAACCTATACTCAATTACAACTTAATATAATGTTATCTTGGGAGTAAAAGAATGCCGGGTTTGAACCTGGAGTCCTCTATTAGGACTATGTGATCATGGATAAGTTACTCAACTCTCTAGATCTCAATTTTCTCATTTACAAAACAGGGATGTTTGTAATTCCTACCACCAGTTTTTGGCAAGAATAAGTGATATATCCTTGAAACCATACTGCCTTATCATAATGAGTGTTCAATCAATGATAGCTATTAAGTTATTTTTATTACCCACATGTATTTTTCCAAACCAAAAGTGGGGACAGATAACCTGAAAAAATGTTGTGTATTTATGATGAAAATCAGAGAGATTTCAAATTAGGACTGTCCCAGAAAACCAAAACTGTGTGTTTCCTCTTTAATCTACTGAACAGTTAATAAAACTGTAGCTATGTTAAATCTATAGCTTCATTTTTAAAGCCTATATAATATTTTCACAAATATATTTATTATATGTAGCTCAAGAAATTTTGAGTTTATACAAAGATATCACATGATCTAATAAATCTTCAAGAAGAATGCTTCTTAATCTCCATAAGAAAAACATATTTGAGTCTTTTGTTGTTGTTGTTTAGATTTGATCTCTGTACACTATTAAAGAAACAAAATCGTCAAACACTGAAAACAGCTGCAAATGTAGGCTAGTTATTGTGAAGATGACCTCATTCCTATAATAAGGGTATAAGATTGAATAGAATCTTTTAATTGTCTTTATTTGGCCAATCTTTCAATAACAAAATTGGGATAATATTAAAAAGGAGAATAGGAGTTGCATGGGCTTTCCCAGTGGCTCAGCGGTAAAGAATCTGCCTACAATGCAGGAGATCCCTGGGTTGGAAAGATTCAATCCCTGGGTTGGAAAGATTCAATCCCTGGGTTGGAAAGATTCAATCCCTGGGTTGGAAAGATTCCCTGGAAGAGGAAATGGCGACCCTCTCAAGTACTCTTCCCTAGGAGTCCCATGGAGAGAACTGGGAGGGCTACAATCCATCCACAGGGTTACAAAGAGTCA